AGAAATACATTTAAGCAATAGAAGATTTAAATTGTTATGATTAACCTTAGAGTAAATGAGTATTGCTGATGAGATTTACTTGGTATATTAATTTATTTTAGGCGGAATGTTTCAAAATTTGGTATTTTGTCCAAGTAAGTAAAATAATCTGCTGTATTGTTCGTAGCCAATCGTGCAATAATCACATAAATTTGATTTCAAATTTGATAATAACAGTTTTAGCACCATCCAGGCGACCATACACCGTCAAAGTTCGACGGAAGGCCAGCTTCGTCAGGTGTATCGTCTATCGGCGAAACTAAATCTTCACGGTATTCATCCAATCGTGTACGTAATGCTTGTACTATCTCTGGATAAAGATCGGCGGTGTTGTTTCTTTCCTCGGGATCATCTGTATTGAAAGAAAGACAGCGTGCTTTTAATTAGTTCAACCGATACTCATTTGATACTCATACCTTGAAAATCGAAACACTATGTGTAGTTTGGTAATTACTAATGAATTTCTTGTTTTTGATGAATAGAATTCTGGCTCGATTGTTAAGGTTCATTGCTAATGACCACACATAAATGTTACAGTCTGAAACTGGACTGTTGAATGACATTCATTAAAATTAGGTAAACGATTATACAGTGTGCAATCCAAACGTTTGTCTGCTGTGGAAATTATTAATTGTTAATAATCTAAACAGATAAATAATATGTCTGATCGGACATGCAAACTAAAGATATAGCCTACTCACGTGCGCTGTTATGTATGCCCCATCAGTTATCTTAATATGAAAATTGCTCTACAGTGGCAATGTACATGACATTCTAGAGATCAGCTATTATAATAGCAACTTGTCAAACAGTATTTGTTTATATTTAGGTTGGCGATTAGAACTTTATTTTGAAGTAATTTATATATCTGTATGTGAATGAATATTTCACCTTACCACCCGACTAATCAAACTTAATATACGTTCTTCATACCTCTTATATTGAATAAGTATGTCACGTTCTCGGCGGGTATCGAAGTAGGTGGGCCAGGGAACCCGTTTGTCAGGGGGTCACCATAATTGAACCAACCATCTGAAATAAATATATACATTTACATATATTAGATATTAGATCACGCCACTTTCATTTGCGCAAAACTGTAAATCCAACAATGCCTCAAGTATTTATAATATAGTAATGGATCTTGTGGGATTTAAGTTACCTGATTGATTGGTTGTTCGAATCGGATACATTATATCCGGATTCCCTGTAATCAGTTTATAATCTCCAACTCGATACATACAAAACATACTTCAGGGTGAGATTGAATGCAACACATATGATAAATATCACCACATGTTCGTGGTATGTGGTATACGTAATGAATTAAATATTGTTTTGAAGCTCATATTTGCTTGATGACTAAATTAATCACTTATCCACTTTGAAATATACTACGTACTTTCATTATTAATCACCCACTAATTCTTAACAACATAACAAACATTTTTTTCTTTTAATTTTACATTTAATTTCGAAATTTCCAACAACAAATCAAAAGGGATACTCGCAGTTGACTAATATTCATTACAACTATATTGATTATTATTATTTAGGGCCAATCGATACACACAAGCTATCACATATATCCCTTGCGGAATGTGAGACAATACGGGTTATTGTATGACGAGAGTATAATCCTGGAAAGAAAAAAACGGACGACACAGTTCTTCATTACATATCAACTTGTTACAATTTGCATAGATTAAAGGGTTATCTGCTAAACCCCACATTGAATATTACTACTTACCTGATAGCAGCACCCGGGGAAGGCTCAAAATCATCAATATTATAGACAAATTCATTTCTTGGCGATGGTTTACCCATCGAGAATGTCTTCCACATATCTATACCGTCGATTCCTCGTTCTGCCGTGTATAATACAAACCATATTTTAGCAACCTCAATCTAAAATATTGTGTCCAGCATGACAATTACTCTTGACAAATATTTTAACAACTCACCAGAATTAGCCCCAGCTATTGATAGTAACGTTTCATGCAAATCGACCATGTGCCATAACCTGTGACCCGAAAGGTAACTTAGTTAAACAGAGGTGTGTCCAAAATTGTGAGTTTTATTTGGGTATTTCAAAATACTTCTTTCATCTCTACATAACAATTATGCAAAGTATCGATTTAATG